AAGTAAATTACGGCTTTTGATATTGGATATATGGTATTTTTAATATACTGAAAATGGTTCTGAATAATTTAACCACCTGTTTATTTTTTGTGCTCATACAGTCATAACTTACTACAGGCAAATATACATGAAAATGTATGATTGTTCTTACACTATAATGCACACCAGTGATTATACGCAAACGACCATAAGTATACTAACAAGGCCTGTGGCAGTAACGGAGCTTTTGTGTACCAGTCACACCTCCATCATGGTTCAAGGGTGTACATTGTATTTAGTGAAGAAACACGGGAGATGAAGAGTCTTCTTAAAAAGTCATTTATTTCATCATAAGGAAAGCCCTGCTCTTCACTACATTAAAAAGTAACTAAGCGGATCTTTAGGATACATGTATTGTTACCATTTTTAACAATAATCATCATGATAGCAATTGAAAAGGTTTCACCAAGTCTTTTTAATTAAACAAAAAATTAATGCGATCTATTTAGTCAAACTCTGCATGCAATACTATTAATATGGAAAACACTAAGCTTTAAATACTATCCTGAATGTCGTTTTTACTATTCCTACCAAGACCTATTCAGTAAAAAGGAAGAACAGCAGTAAAAATGGCCATTTTCTGAGGTACTATATCCCCCCCCAACTAGCCATCCAACCCCAACAAGAAAAAAAAATCTTAAATTACTAACCAATTTAAGTTTTCAATACAATACTGATTATTATACTAGATGCTTGTTTATAAGTTTTTTTTAAAAAAGACTCGTATTTTGGCTAAAAACTAAAACAGCTTAAAGAGAGATTACATCTATCTGTTTTAGAACTCCAGTGTTAAAAATATACTTAAAAAACACAAGGTCCTTGAGGTTCATTAACAGAATTATCATAATGCAGTAGGGATGCACGATACCGTGATTATATGGCACAATCACCAGGGCTTTAGATAACGAGCAAAATGTGTCCAAACGCCGGCGTTTCTGTACTATATGGACATTTACTTATGCCCGCAATTTGGTAAGCAGAATAGTAATATGTCTAAAATATTAATGAGCAGCATATTTAATCATCTGTATAAATGTGGCATAACCTTATGCTTATTAAATTTGGTTTAGCGGAGTGCCACGTGCTACTGTTTTGGTAAATCATGGTAGTGATGAGCACTGAAGTGGCGGCGAAGAAAGGGACAGATCAACAACCACAACATCTTTTAAAATAGGAGATCTTGTGGTACGGTGGTCTGGCATAAGTAAACGTCCGGATAGTACCGAAAAGCCTGCATCCGGACGAATGTTTCTCCCGTTATCTAAAGACCTGGTGATTATGGAGTATGCATCATATAATAACAATTGGATAACGTGCAATCCTATTATACAAAGATACAGAGAGGACCTCCCATCTACCCAGCCTTCGCCTTGCCTCTGAAATCTGAAAAACTCTTTGCTCAATAAGCTGGGCACAATTTCCATAAGATCTGATAGAAAGTAGCACAATGGGTGACCTTTAATGGCGACCTGG